AACATCTTTGATCCTTCCCACTGAGCTACTGCCCCCCTGCCCTTTGCAGGTAACTGAGGCCTGGGTCTATGTTAGTGGCAGTAAGACAGAACTTACTGCCTGTTCTCTGGGGTCATCAAGGGACTATCACTTTCCTGTAGTGTTCTGTGTCTATTTGTCTTCCTAGTAAGTTTTTACTAAAGGAAGTAAGCTCTTGCTTTTTGCAATTTTGTTCAGAATTTTGAAAATTTCCAGAATCCTATTCCTTAGCATTAGGGAACCAACAAATAAATCAGTCCATGGCAGATGGAAATGGATTCTTTTTCAGGGTTTTTCTCTCTGGTCTGAGGTGAGAAGAAGGGAGCCTAGAGGAAGGGTTACTTACTTGTCCTTCCTTTTTTTTTTTTTTTTTTTTTTTTTTTTTTTTCCTACTATCCAGTGACAACCTCAGGGCCCTTGGGGCCTACAGCACAGGCAAGGTAGAAACAAGGACCTTGGGCCTTCTGTAGCCTCTGAACTATGGAAGAATGGACTCCCCTTCTAGAGGCATAATTGGCAACCTGCCCTGGCCTATGCCAATTCTCCAGGCTTTGGTTTGAGTCTTACCTCTTTTGACTCTGGTATTTCCTTGCTTCTGTGGAAGACTGACAGAAAAAGCTTCCTAAGTTTGGAAACTAACTTGTCAACAAGTTCAGAGGAAAAGGTACCAATTTTCTTAGCTTACCCCTAAAGCAGCCCCTGTAAAGAGCATCTTTTAATGCTTACTCCTTATAGAGGTTTCCATCCTGGTCATTTAAAGAATAGGTCATTTAAAGAATTAGGAATGCTGGTTCTGCTGCCACTTAGTTTGGCTGTTTCTGGGCCCAGCCTAGAGCCCAGTGACTCAGGGGGAGGGTGGGGAGTTTCGAGGGAGCTGTGAGTCATGGGAGGGAGCTCCATCACAAGAGTTGGGCACATCCCCCCACTCATGGCAGAAGCCTTTCTATCCCACTTCCCCTGGGTGCTCCGTCTCCTATGAATAGAAAGAATACTGTAGAAGGAATGAAGCAGCCTGATCTCAGAATGATAGTTCAGAGACACAAAAAAGGATGTTTAGGTCCCTGAATTAAAATGTATCCCTATCTCAGGAATTCTTGAGGCCCCTCTAACGAAGGCAAAAGAAAATTAATAAAAAGTAAGGAGAAGGAAGAATACCATTTCTCAATGGAAGGAGATAAGATCCCACTTCAGAACTTTTTCATCTGCTCTGGCATAAAGGAAGCTTTCTAGACTTCAGCAGTACTCTGGTGTTTGAAGCTCAGGTTTGCAAGAAAGGGAGAGATGAATGAGAGTGGGGATATTTGGGGTCTGGTGAGGGAAGAGCAGGCTGATTTTGGAGATTGTGGAACTTTGTCTTTGAAAGCCCTAGGGCGTCCTATTAAACACCTTCGGAAAAGGAAGGGCGGAGGTGAGCAGTGGGAGGCCTACACCTTTGAAAGGGTTAAATTGGCAGGGCTGGGAGATCCTTTGGATTCCAGCAATTGAGGGGTTAAAGAGATGGGCGGGGCGACACGGGTAGGCCTGCCCCCTTGTGGACCAATGGGCGTGTGTCTCTTGGAGGGGGCGTGCCTCACACTTGAGGTCGTGGAGAGGCTGGACTCCTATGGGCCAATGAATATGGTCGCTGCCCGCGGAGGGCGTGGTCTTAGGGGGGCGTGGCGGCCACGGCCGCTGCGGCGGGGGTGTTGGGGCGCTGGGCGGGGCGGGCGGCCCCATCAGCTGGTAGGAAATGGCCTGTGAGTCAGAGGGGCAGCGGAGTCGACAGCACTGAGCCGGGGCGGCCACGGGGAGGGACAGTCGCGGGGAGGGGTGCGGCAGCGGCTGGGGGGCTGCGGGCGCCAGGTCCCGCTAGTGTTGCACACGAAGCTGAACAGAGAACAGCCTAGCAAAGCAGGGCTCTGCGTGAGCCACCCTTTGTCTGGGTTGGGGGCCCGTGGCGGGGAGGACCCGGGATTCGAGGGGAGGGACCGGGACGGGACGGAAGGGCCCGGAGCAGCGGCCGCCGCGGCGGAGCCAATTTAAGAGCGGGGTGAGTGTGTGCTAGGGGGAAAGAGCAAATCTCCGAAGCTCCAGTATGGAATGGGGCCTGTCTCAGGCTCTGGGGAGGAGAGGGGTGAGAATGGACCTGGGAGACTAAGTAGGGGTTGGGGGCATCATCCAGAACAAGGAGTCCAGCGGAAGGGGTGAGTCTGCTGGACTCAGTTTGGAGGAGGTGCTGACATCTGGTCTCTCCATTAAGGGTAGAGGGCTTTAGGTCAGCAGTCAAGGGGTGGGTTGGAGACCAGAGGTTGACCTTCCTACCCATAGTGGTGGTCCATGGGAGTAGCTCCGCTAGTTTGTGTGGACATGTATAGGAACAAAATGTGGAGTAGCTGGCAGTTCTCTCTGAACAGGATGAGGGTAGAAAGCACATGGAGAGGAATTCTCCTTCCTGCCACCCTCCTAGATCAGTGTAGAAATAGATACCTTTAATACTGAAGGAAAGGGGAGAGTGAGTCTGGGAGTTGTACCTGTACCAATACCCACCTACCCCACCTCCCAGGCCTAGCAGGTGTCTGAGGTACAGAACCCATGGTATTCTGGGATTTGGTGTTTTTGCTGGCCTTGCTCCTTGGGAATGTTGGGAACTGTAGTCCTTGCCAGCCATAGCCTGGCACAGCTGTTTGATGCCAGCTGCTGCCCACCCCCTGCACAGAGAGTGAGGTTTGGCCTACCCTGCCCCCCTCTTCCACAGTCCTGCCCCATGAGTCAGCTCGAAGCCATGGTCTAGAGCCAGACAGGCTGGGTGGCAGGGAAGTGCGTCTTAGAGCTTCTCATTGACAAGTCAGGAACTTAGAGGGCTCTGGGGTAATGAGCAGATGCCAGGCATGCTGGGGTCAAGTAGGGCATCATGTCATCACCTGCCTTCCCCAGGGCAATGGCTCCAGAGGCCAACTTGGATGACCAGGGGTGGGGTGCTAAGGAAAAGGACCTTCCTCAACCTGTATGGCTTGAGTAGAGGAAAGGAAGGTAGAGATGAATACAGGTTGTACCTACCCTCTGACAGTGCTGTCATTGGAGTTCTGCCCTTTCCAGACACCCCACCCACCACAGGGAACCAGAATTTTCTAGGGATCCCATTTCTCACGAGAACTTGGTGAAATAAGGTAATGTGGGGTGCAATGATAAGAACTTGGTGTAGGAGAGCTTTCCAGTCCCCAGTGTGTAAATCTCTCCCTTTCTCCCTGTCCCCCATTTCCACCTCTGTTATTGCTGATTCTCCCTATACAAGTAATCTCTCTACTTCTCTAATTCTGGGAGCTTTTCTCTTCACTGCTAGGACTGATGCCAAGATCTCTGGGGCTTGCATTCTACTTTTTTGAGTCCTGCCATGTGCTTACTCCCTGTACTTAGAGTTTGGCAGAGGAGCGAACAGAACTATCCTTAAGAACCCCCTGGTCTGTCTAGGAGATTTCTTACCTATAAGAACAAGCAAAATTGTCACTGGGTTGTATTAGATAGTGACACTGCCTTAGGTGAAGTCTCAGGAGAGAGATGTGGTCTAGGGTGGATAGAGTAGGCTTTCTGGAGGGAATGGCATTTGGCCTAGCCAAGGAGGAAGGAGAGGGCTTAGGTAGGTATACAGGGGACATTCTTTGAAGGGGAAAAGATCCTGTGGATGGCAGGCAGCATAGGCTACTGCCCAAAGGAGAAGCTTGATCCTGGGACAGTATTTCCTCCCATAAAGGAATATGGCCTTCAATTTGACATTCCTCTCACCCAGTATGGGCTCCTGAGGGTGGACTAGTCAATAAAGAAAGTCTTTAGTCCTGGCAGGAAAACAGTGGTTTGGGTTTTTGGGTGCTGAACATGTGGCTAAGTGGAGAGGTAGTCCTACTTGCTTCCAGCTATCTGACTGCCACTGCCTTATCTCTAGCTTGCAGGGCCTAGGGGGAGGGGAGGTCCTGGAAAGTGCCTTCTGGCATTGCCTTCTCCACTCCCCCTCCACTTGATTAGATTTGTTGCCTCCTGTTAAAGGGACAGACTGCTGGGGGTAATGTGTTTAAGGCCAAAGGGCTGCCTTTGAGCTGACCTGAGGTTTGTATCTGTGAGGAGTGCTCCTGGGGTAGGACTTTCTGCAAGACCTCTCCCCTTAGGGCTCCGGAGTAGCATTTGTCCTTTGGAGAGAGACTTTAAGGAAGGAGTTATACAACCTTGACTAGGAGGGCTGAATTCTTACTCTGACCATCTCTCAGTTGGCATTGGAGTTCTCTTGAATCTTGGGGTATTGCATTCCCCCTCACACTCAGGGCAGAAGCCCCTCAGCTGGTGGCCCTGATAAATGGTGATCCTGCCACAACTTCTTACCTCCTATTACGCTGAACCTAGATCTGCCTCTCTCTGACTCCGTAGGTAACCTAGCTCTGCCCTCTGGGCTCTGGATCCCAAGACTACACCTTCTGTTTCTGAAGAGCTTTTCATATGGGAGAAGGATATCCTGGAGGGTACTCTGATAGCCCACAACTGGACAGGAGTCTTGCCACTGGCACCAGAGATCCTGGCTTAATGTCTGTTCTCCTTTCCTTAGGGTCCAGCTGAGCCCAAGAGCTGCACGGAATGGTGGCAGTCACCTTGCCAGTGCAGCGGGAATGGACCAGACTGCAAGCTAGGAGAGCAAGGCATCAGTCAGGAAGAGGGAACACACGGCTAGGCTTAAGGCCTCTTCATCGGGGTGAGTGCTGGGGAAAGGGAGGGGAAGCAGGTCCAGTGAGAACCCTGTGCTAAACATGCCATCCTCTCAGAAGTTCTGGGATTGTCCTCTATACTCCATTAATCCATCTGGGGATTTGGACACCTTCACCCCAAGGAAACCCACAAGGTCACCTCTTCAGGCCAGAGGAGGATCTGCAACTCAGGTGGAAGGGAGAAGACCCAATGATTCTTCTGATCACCTTTTCTTCTTTTCTTCTACAGATGTCCCCAGGCCCCCCAGCCCAGGCCCAGCATAAAGGCTGTGTGGGGGGGCCCCCCTGACCCAAGGGGGGGCTTCATGCGCCACGTGCAGGCGGAGCCGTCTTCATCCTCAGAACCAGAGGCTGGCCCTTCGCAGCCTGCAGTCAGGCAGGGGGCCCTCCAGGGTAGCCTGCTCATGGGCTACAGCCCAGCAGGGGGGGCAACATCCCCCGGGGTCTACCAGGTATCCATCTTTTCCCCTCCAGCTGGTGCCTCTGAGCCTCACAGGGCCCTGAAACGGCCGGCCCCACCCACTGAGGTTACCAGGGAGCTGAAGAGAGGCCCTGGGCTGGGGGCCAGAGAGGGACTACCCCCTGAAGAACCATCTACTGTGGGGCTACTAGGCCCAGAGGGACTGGGGCTGGGACTGGGGCTGGCCAGCCAGCATTTCTGTCACCATGGCCTCTGTGTTGTGGAACAGGGAGGTAGCTCCACCTCACCTTGGACTTCAGGGGCCCAGAGTCCCCCTTGTCCCCCATCAAATGCTTCCTGCAATAGTTTGCACACCAGAGACTGGGCTTCCCCAGATCCAGGGGCACAGGGGTCCCTGGGGGAGTCCCCAGGGCCAGCCCCTCTGGGCCAGCTGCACACATTTGACACTGATTTGCACAGTCTTGCACAAATAGGGGGTAAGAGCCCAGTGGCTGGGGTGGGCAACGGGGGTAGCCCTTGGCCTAGGGAGTCCCCTAGCACTGCCAATGGCCACAGTCCCGAGCACACACCCCCTGGCCCTGGACCTCCAGGCCCCTGCCCCACCAAGCGAAGGTTGCTTCCTGCTGGAGAAGCCCTGGATGTCAGCTCTGAGGATGAGGGGCCAGCCCCTCGGAGGCGCCGGGGAACCCTGGGCCACCCTCCTGCTGCCAACAGTTCTGATGCCAAAGCCACACCCTTCTGGAGCCATCTGCTGCCTGGGCCCAAGGAGCCTGTGCTGGTAATCCAGGAGAAGGGGATGGTCTATTCTTAAGTAGATATGTGTGTGGGAAAAGGTGAAGGCCTGAGGAGTGTGGGGGGGGGGGAGGGGGGTCCAGATGTTCCTTTGAGAGCTTGTAATGAGGTCCTGCTTCCAAACATGCCTGACCTCCACCCAATCTTTTTCTGTAATCTTTCCTTTCCATAGGACCCAACAGACTGCAGTCCCATGGGGCGGAGGCTGAAAGGTGCCCGTCGCCTGAAGCTGTAAGTGATCAGCTTCTTCCTCTGCTCTATCCCTGCAAGTGGGGCAAAAGTCTATAATCCTTTTTCTGACTGCAGGGTAGGGGAACCCAGGGCAGGAGCCCTTGATGGTGGCAAAGGGTGAGCCCAAGGACATGAGTAAGCATACCAGAATACTTCAAGCCAATGTACTGTGTGTCCCTCCCCTACCAGGAGCTCCCTTCGAAGCCTCCGGAAGGGGCCAGGCCTGCTGAGCCCCCCCAGTGCCTCCCCTGTTCCTACCCCTGCTGTCAGCCGTACCCTGCTTGGCAACTTTGAGGTAGTTCCCCTTGGATTCTGTGATTGGGGGCCTTGGGGAAAGTGAGATGGTAGAGTGTGGCCTGGATGGGTAAGGAAAATAGCTGGCATCTATCTCATAATATGCTTTCCCCATCTCAACCCCAGGAATCATTGCTGCGAGGACGCTTTGCACCATCTGGCCACATTGAGGGCTTCACGGCAGAGATTGGAGCTAGTGGATCCTACTGCCCCCAGCATGTCACCCTGCCTGTCACTGTCACCTTCTTTGATGTTTCTGAGCAAAATGCCCCGGCTCCCTTCCTGGTATGACCTGACCTCAACCCAAAGTTAGCTTGTGAAGAGGGTGAGGGATGGATAGCAGGAAGGATTCTTTAGGTGTTCTCACCTAGGAGAGAGTTCAGAGCCTGGTGGGGAGAACTCTAGTGTGGGGCAAGGGCTAGGCCCAGAGTGAGAGATTATGGAGATGGATGAGTATTCAAAGCTCTCCTAGACCCCATCTTAGCTGATGGCTCCATGACCTTCCTAGGGTGTCGTGGACCTGAATCCCCTGGGGAGGAAGGGTTACAGCGTGCCCAAGATGGGCACCATCCAAGTGGTAAGTTTTCCCTGAGGGGCAGTGGGAGTGGGGAGAGGAAAACAGCCCCTAGGCCCTACCAACTTTGCCTGTCCTGCCCCCAGACCTTATTTAACCCCAACCAGACTGTGGTGAAGATGTTCCTTGTGACCTTTGACTTCTCGGACATGCCTGCTGCCCACATGACCTTCCTGCGCCATCGCCTCTTTTTGGTGCCTGTGGGTGAGGAGGGAAATGCTAGCCCCACCTGCCGCCTCCTCTGCTACTTGCTGCACCTCAGGTGAGGACAGGGCCCTGGGGCAGCTGGGAGGCCCAGGGAAAGGATTTTCCCCACCCCAGGTTATCTGGCTTATCTACTATCTGGATTCTTTCTTTGATCACCCTGTTGTCCCCCAGGTTCCGGAGCTCCCGCTCAGGCCGCTTAAGCCTGCATGGAGACATCCGCCTGCTTTTTTCCCGCCGGAGCCTGGAACTGGACACAGGGCTCCCCTACGAACTGCAGGCAGTGACTGAGTCCCCTCACAATCCACGTTATTCACCTTTGCCCTGATTGCCAGTGCCCTGAACCCATGTGGGCCAAGTACCTACCCATCCTGCTCCATCCTGGACAGAGCAAATACGTGGAAAGGTGGCAAAAGACCCTTTAGGCTTGAATTAAAGCCCTCACCATGCTCATGCCCAAATCGATTATTTGGGTGTTTAAAGCCTCTGATCCTTACCACACTCTGCTCTACTCTGGGTACTCCATGTGCCTCCCACTCCCTTGGATTTCCCAGGCCAACTTAGGTAGTGGGGAGACAAGGAGCTACCCTGAGGTTGTCTAAAGTTCCCAGGCAAGTCATGCCAGCGTTGCCTCCCTGTCCTGGGCAGGGGCCACTTATTATTTTATTTATTTTTAATTTATAATTTATTCAAATTGGATTGCCTTGGTAACCTCCCAAACCTGATAATTGGCATTGCCCCTCATCCTTTCCCACTCTCAGATATTGCTCCAAGCTCAGGAGTTGAAGAAGCTGATGTGGGGGTTGGGGGAGAACTGTTCTTTCTCAGCTGAGGGCAGAGAGGTTATCCCAGAAGGACTGAGTCCCTAGCCAAAGACTCAGCTTCCCCTGTCCTTCCCTATACCTTCCCTATACCTTTCACTTCCCCTACCCTCTGACCCCTCTCTGAAAGCCAACTTGTGTGTGTGTGTGTGTGTGTGTGTGTGTGTGTGTCCATGTGTCTGCGCACACACGCACACACATATAAGCTTTTATTTATGTGGTGTGTGTGAGAAAGAGAGCTTGCATGCATGCACACACACAGAGGTTAACCATGCCTGATCTAAGACTCCAGACTCCAGTTGACCCTCTCCTCCTGCCTGTGTCTCCTTGCTTTGGGGTCCTGACTGAGGAAGGTGTTCTGGGGGCAGAGTCAGGGCCAAGGACTGGGGTGCCTCCTCTCACCTGGCCAGACTCTGACCCACCTACCTCAGCTGGGATGAGGGGCACACCTCAAACTCAGTCATGTGATTTCCCAACTACCCCATTCCCCACACCAGACTCTGACCCAGCCTTAGTCCTGACTCCTGGGGCTGGCTGAGGGGAACAAGCAATTGCTTGAAACTTGAACAAAAAAA